TTGTTGATAACAGCAACAGTATAAAGAGTAGAAAAGAATATTTTAAACATGGAATAATGTTTAAGGAACAGTTAGTTTCCCTCCAGAAATCTTCATTGTTCTTCTCTTGGGAAAAGTCTAATCAATTTAAATGCTACCACTATTCTACTTGTGAATGGACTGAGGAATACATCTCTCATGTTACAGAAATGAATCTCATCCTCTGGGCTTTGAAATAAAGCTTTATCAGAGACAGTCAATTTGTGTGTCATCTCATCTTTCTGCATTACTGTAAAATTGATTTTATGATTCCTTTCTCATAAATTACAGGCCGCAGGCAATCGTAGCCTGGACTCCTGCTTGTCTTCCCAGAATCAGGGCTGGGGGTTCTTTTCTTATGAGCCACATCGACCTCTTCAAGCTTGCAATTCTGCTCACGGGTATGTTTGGAAGAGTCCATCAGACCCAGGATATGTCCTGGTCTGGTCTGAATCCTCTGACTTGAGTATCATTCCCAAAGCCTTATGTTCATCATTGGAGTGAAATATTTTCTGAAAAAGTGTGCTCATGGTGGAAATAAATGCCCATCACAACAGGGGCACTATTATCAACTGACAGCCACAAAAATAGGTCTCTGTTCCCTTCCCCCATAACTCCTGACACGAGTGCAAAAACCCTCAGCAATATCCAGGTTTCTGGCGATTGCTGCTGGGCTCATGTAAGGATCTGGTTGTTTGATCAAAAGGACTGGTGCTGGGCTGGGGATGTAGCTCAGTGGTACAGTGCCTGCTTCTCAAGCGCAAGGTCCCTGAGTTTGATTCCCAGTTAAAAAAAAAAAAAAAAAGACAATTGCCTTAAGGCCTTTTTTTTTAATTGACTCCTTGTCGCTCTCTCTCCACACACATGCAGCACACGGTCTCTGAGTTCCACTCTGCTACCTGCCTAAGTCTTAGCTGGTTCTCCCAATTGGACACGTGGCCACCTGGTACCCTACCCCAGTGAGAACACTGACAGGGGAGTGCTGAGTTCAGACGACAAAGGTCCGCTCCTGCGAACATTTTGGCTAAGACAAATCTTAACCCTAATCTTGGGGTCACTTGTTAAAAGTTCAATTAAAGCTCTTGGTTTTAGTATTTTTATAGACTATTTACTTTTTCTTTTTCCTGTGCTCTAGAATGAGATCACTTGACTCAGAACAGTGAATGACCATCAACTGAGAAAATATGGGCCCGAAGGCACAACCGTTTGGGCTGGGGCTTGAGAGCAGTATCAGCAATGATCTAGTTTAGCATGGCAAATGCAGCCGGACACAGAAGTGTCATTTCCTGGTGGGCTGAGGGACTCCCCAGATGCTCACAGTACTCCACTACGCATACACTTTTCCTCTAAGCGTATTCACCACACAGTGTGCTTATGTAAATCTACTGCATGGCCACCAAGACTTTGAAGGCTGAGATAGCATTTTCCCAGCACTTTAATACCTGCTTCAGAGAAAGCTCTCAACAAATATTTGTTGAGTAAGCAAAACTGCTGCTTTTGCTTTTGGCTGAAGGGTCTTCTTTTTAAAAACGATGTTAACAGAAAAATCTCTTGATGCATACAACACTCAAACCATGACAGCAGGGCGTACGCATGAAACAGACTTAGATGGATGGATCACCCTGGGCTGGGCAGGGGGAGATATTTCAGGAAGAGCTGAAAATCAGTCCTGCGCAGTAGCCCATGGGCAGCATCTTTATTTTGGCTCAAGACCAACTAAAACATCTTTTGCGTTTTGTGTGGAGCTTCAAACAAACTGGCATGCAGTGTTTTTGCTTGCTTGTTTTGATTTTTTGAAGAAAAGCTTTTTATTTTAGAGTTACTCTAGCAAAACCTCAATATTTTATGACAATTTTCTTTAAATTCCTTTTGGATTACTAGTTTCCTAGATGAAACATCGTAAATAACAGCAGTTTGAATCAACCACTTAACTAGAAAATTCAATTAGGTATTCCTATAGTGCAGTGTTCTTTTGAAGTACCTCAGGGCACAAAAGATAATTTTCACCATCAGGTGCCTCAACCTTGCTTCTTCCACCTTTTTTTAAAAAATGTTTTTAAAAAATCTTTTATTTATTTATGTATTTGGTACAGGGTCTCACTACTCAGTTTGGACTTGTAGTGATCCTCCTGTCTCCGCCTCCCCAGTGCTGGGATTACAAGCGTGTGCTACCACCTAGTTTTGTGGCTGGCATGGCAAGCAATACGGGGATCAACTTCGGTCCTTATGCTTGCCAGGCAGTCACTTTATACCACCAAGCTGTCTCCCCAGCTCTCTTCCATCCTCTCAATCCAGCCACCTCCATACTTCCTTGTAAAGCTATTATTATTATTATATTATTATTTTCTTTTTTGTATTTAGTACAGGGTCTAAGGGGTCTCACTATGTAGATCCGACTCGTACTGATTCTCCTGTTTTCAGTCTCCCAAGTGCTGGGATCACAGGTACGCACCACCACGCCCAGTCTCAATCAACATCTCAGCACCACGGGGGCGAAGCCAGCATGGCACTCTGGGATCGAACCCCGGCCACTGCATCTGCCTAAGCAGGAGCTTTAGTCCGCTGAGCCATTTGGCAGGCTCTAAAGATATTTAGAGTAACACTGGCTGACAAGAATCTTTGGGTAGTTGAGATTAATAATTAATTTTTCTCTTTCTGGTTGTGCTGTATATTCCCCCCCACTCCAGTTTACAATTAAGGTTCTCAAGGGAATATTCAAGTGAATGGGATAAATCTAGAGCCCAACTGTTTTAAATAAGGGGAAAAAAAGGGTTTTACATGTGTAGAAAATGTTAAAAAGCTAAGCTTAGAACGAATAGTTTCTGTAAGACTTGTATAAACATTTCTTCTTTAGGGCAGTGATTATTAAAGAAGGAAACTGGAAACTGGAGGATATATGTGAGGTTTACCCAGGGAAAATTTTCAAGCTACATCTTCTTCCACAAATACTGATTCCTATTGTTGTTCTCTCCCTAGAACCAAGACGACAGCGACCTACTGATGACAGTGTGCCACATCCCATGGAGCGTAGGGATTAGGTTAAGGATCACTGTTTTAAGACTCACCGGTGATAAATATTTCCAACTACAATCATATAACAGCATGAAGACCGTATTTGCTTCAATTACATTATTTATTTATTTTTTGATTATCCCTCTTAGTCCTGCATGCATTGTTAGCACAAAAAGTTGAACATGATCACAACCTCCGTTGAAGACAGGGTAGCACACACCACCTGAAGAGCTTCTCCCGGAGGGCCCAGACGCTGGTAACTAACACTGTCAGTGACCCACACAATGTTCACAGAAAAATTTACCAGCTATCCTCTGTTTAATGTAAACAGGCAGGAGGCCAACAGAGTACTACAGTAACGCTATTTTACAGGGCCCAGAAGTATGATTATCTATCATTTTTGGCATATCAAGTGTCACAATGACATGCACATTTTGACTTATTGTACAACCAAAAATATAATGACCATGTAATTTGTGGCTTTAGCACTTCACTGTAACTTCTTCTGTCCATACCCATTAACTTCATAATTAGATGGTAATTATCTAGTAATATAACATGTAGAAATGTTACCATGAATTTATGAAGTAATCCCATCATTTGCGCCCTGTAAAATTAAGTGTAACAATCTTTACACTAGTAATAGTGTAAGCAAGCCAAGGATTTTGGTCCTTATATATACATATATATATATACACACATGTACACAAAGTAATATACAATTAAACCCCCAAACTGTGAACCACTCAGGCCTTCCATATTGCACAGATACATCATGAAAACATTACGTCACTCTAGTGTGAGCACTACAGTGACAACTGGCTGTGACAAATCGGAGTTCTAAGAAGTAGAGAATGTGCCTCGTTACTAAAAATAAATCTGAAGACTACACTATTGGAAAGTTGAAAATATGTGCGTATTTATGCAAGAGTGAAGCCAGGCTACCGTCGAGTCTGCAGCTGCGATGGCCACCAGTTGTCACGCGTGCTGTCTACCCCACACAGCGCACTCTGGCTGCTGTTCTTCTAAGCACTGAGCACATTCAGCTTCTGAGCGACAGTAAGAGAAGGGCCAGCGAGGCAGTGCAACGCTTGCTAAAGTAACAAATTCAACTCAATGTGTGAACTTGTGCCGGCGCTAGGTCCAAACTAAATGTGAAAAAGAAAGAAAGAAAAATGGGGAAAGAAAAAGCAAAACTAAACCTCAAGTCTTAGCTGACTCCAGCACAGTCATTACAATAACTTAGGAAAATTACATTTTCAGAAGCAGCACACACACACACACACACACACACACACACACACAAGTTAAAGCTTTTCTGAGCTCAGTTTCATGGATTAGCTATAAGGGCCCATTGTGAAAATCAAAGATTAAAAAAGAGTATTTGGTTGGAGAGGTAATACCACTGCTATTAAGCACATTAAGCACTATGAAAGCATTAAGAAATATCTAATATCGCTTAATGCCTTACTTTAAATACATCCATACCAAAGTAGACCGTAACTACATCTAGGAATCGAGATGCGCAGTGTTCCTTGCATACACTGATCAATAAAGCAAACTGCATAACGCTTCCTATCATTCAAAATTACAGACAGAACATCATACATGAGGTAACTATCTCCTGTTTTTCTTTCCTTTTTACCTAATTAAATTTTTTATACCAAGCTAAGAAAGATTTGTATTGAATTAGGAATTTAGTCCTTTTGTTGTTTTAACAATGATGAGCATCTTAGAGTTGAGATTATCATAATCTTGACATTTTGTTCTTAATAAATAGCAAACTATAACTATAAAATCCATCCGAAACACAATAAAACGAGCACACCAGCATAAACCATGCCTCCGTGCACACATCACACAATACGTCTGCAAAGGTGCCACACCACATGGCTTGCACAAGGCTGAGACAGCTCCTCTCTAGACAGCTGGAGACAAAACCTGTTACAGTATCTCCGGCAAAGTCAGTAAATGGAAAGGAAGAGGAAAGTGCTGCTGCTTGACATTAAAAGAAAAAACCAAAAAACTTTAAAGCAATCTTGGGACAATAAACCACGAACAGAAAGAACCGAGGACACTAGCAAACTCCTTGATGTAAGGTTCCACAGCCTGCTGGGCATCGCCCGGCAGCTAGAGCAGATGCTGCTGCTGCACGCCCACTCCACACACGCCCAACGCCTCAGAACCCTTTAACATGTAAACAGGACATTTAAAAGACTGTTTTCTTTCATTTCTCAAGAATCATTTAAGACCAAAGACAAAATGAAATGAAAAAAAAAATGTAAACATTGAGATGCCATTGGCACTCTGATTGTGGCCTACTGGGACACTGCCAACCACTTCAATAGGAAATTAACTATGAAATAATTTTCAGAGGGAAAGAGAAGAAGGAAGCCGTCAACTGAGTACAGTTAACTCGGTTTTAAAAGATCATTTTAGCACACACTACCAATGATGAACACAAACTCAACGTTGTTGCACAAATGACAGTTTAAGTCAACTGGGACCCCTACGTGAAAATGAATCACTAACATGGCTATGTGCACAAGAGAGTAAAAGGAAGTTTCTTTAAAAATATATATTAATCAAGAATTTCTTTCTCATATTAAAGTGTTATTCTTAGAAAAGCTAAAGAAAGTTGATGCTGTTCTACACGTTCTTATTTACTATTATTAATAATTCATGGATGGTTCCTGAATTATTTTCTGATTTATAGTTTTAAATACTTTGTTTGATAAGAACCTTAACCTTAAAAAGTTATAAAATCAGTGAACTTTTTGCTATTTATTAATCCAAAAGAACCTAAGCATTTGAGTCCCAGGGAATGTCAAAATGCCTCGCTACCTAAAAGGACAGTAAGATAACAGAAATGTCATCAAAGTCATGACATCAGGAATTCTTCAGCATTTCATGTAGTCATCAGAAACGCTTACTTCCTGAAGTTCCTTTGATTGTATCCTGGGTTCAAAAATGTACAACACAGACCCATTATGATAAAGCCAATGAAGACAACATTATGCCACATTTTACCAAGAGTCTTCACCTAAAAGGTTCTGTCCAGTTTACAATAATACTTCATTTAAAAAGGCCTTTTACCCTCTCTTGGCTGGGTGGGACTGAGTCTGTTCCAACAGAATGTCCATGACGGTTCGGCCCCCTAGTGACTTGATAGCAGTTAGGGTGTGGAGGAAGCGTGGTATTTTACAAAGGCAATCGCCGCCAGCTCCTTACAGAACTCTTCCAACACAATCACACCCTCTAGCAACGTGATGTGGTCAATACTGGGAAGAGCAGACAACAAATCAATTGAAGTTTTCAGCAGATCATTGAATTGGGTGAAATTTGGGGGTGAAAGTATGTAAAACAATGACTTACACAGGGCCTTCAGGCTCCAAACCAAGCAATCGCTTCCTGACCAACAGAAGTTTAGGCGTGAAGTCTTGAATGCGCTGAATTCGAACCATAAGGTCTCCAACAACCTGCACCAGAGATACGAAATTCTCTTTTGGAAATCAGCTGTATAAGGATTCTCTGATTGAAAAAAACCATCCTTCTTATCACTAAAGAACCCACTCCACAGTTTCTTTGAACAAAGACTCATCTGGTCTTTAAAATATGAACTATATGTACTATTTAAAGGAATGAATTTTCCCTTCCCCATTCTATAATAGTTTAAAATGTACAATAATTAGCTTAAGAGCTGAGGAGATAGCTCAGGGGCCTAAGCGCCTGTCTGGCAAGCTCAAGGACTGAGGTTCGATCTCCAGTACTGCATACCATGCTGGTCACCAAAACCAGGCATGGTGGCACATGCCTGTCATCCCAGTGCTGGGAAAGCTGAGACAGGAGGATCACTAGAGTCCCAGCTGCATAGCAAGATCCTGTACCAAATAAATACATAAATTATTTTTAAAAATTAAAAAACATTAGTTTAAACATAAATATATAAGGGCCAGCAAGATAGCTCAGTGGACTAAGGGTCTGCTTAGGCAAGCGCAGGGACTGGGGATCCCCAGCACCACATGCAGCTAGCCACCGAGTTCAGGAGTGGTGCCTCATGCCTGCAACCTCAGCACTAGGGAGGCTGAAAACAGGAGGATCAATAAGAGTCCAAGCTGCACAGTGAGACCCGTACCAAAGTGAATTTTAAAAACATTATAAATATTTCATATTTACATGTCACTCTATGACACTGTCCTCAAACAGTGATATGAAGATTTTTTTGTGATTTTTCTTATTACTTTAATAAAAACAGGCACACGTCATTACAGTAACATATTCATTTCTAAAGATATGAATATGTTAATGAGCTCACTGATTCTAGAGAACAGTGTAGAACAGAACTCACCCTGACAATTACAGAGAAGAGAGATCGACAGCCAGCGGCGAGATTCACGTAGGGGTCCAAAAGGTACTCGTGTGTGTGTGGATGAGGAAAGAGGGACAATCTGGACAGCACTGAAGTCACCTGTAAATTCACATCGTACGGCTGTGTGGAGGTAAGGACAAAAAGACAGCTGGTATGACTGACAAGGTACATACTATGTGTGTAACTTACCACTTTAATTTGCCTAAGAAAGGAAAACACAGCATTCTACTCCTCTCTCCGGATGTTCACTGCAGTGAAAATATCTACAACTAAACTGGCGCTCACCATCTTAGTCAAAATGCATACAGCAGAATCCTACAACTTAGAAAATAAAAGACACACACTGAAACATGTAGAAAAGCCAAAGACGTGATATCGCAGGATGTGTACGTGGGCTGGCTGAATTCAGGAGAAGTTGAAAGTCATCACAAGCCCTCAATGTGCGATGTGTAATATTAATTACAAACCACAGGACAAATTAAGCCTATGACTAAACTAGAAGATATTTCATATTTTGAATATAACAAAATAGATTTAAAAATATTAACCCTCATTTCAGATTATTCAATGGCTATCAAGTACCAAAAGCACATATCCAATAAAATAAATTCAAATCACAGACCTTCTCAACAGAATGAAAGCATACTGGAAGAAATGGCTACCCTACGCCTGAAGGTGACAAGGAGATCAAGACTAAGTTTAATATTAGCAATGGAATCTGAATTTTTATTCTCATCTATTAAGCAGCTTTAAAACCCTTGATCAAAATGAATACCAACTAGAAGCAAATCTCTGGCACGCAGAGAATGCCTGGCTCAGGGCAGAAGATAAGCAGAGCCAGCCTGATAAATGTACATTCCTAGTTCTAAGTTCAACTCTAATCTTTCTTACTAACCATGAGATGCATAAACACGGATTTTTTTTTTAAAGAAAAATATACCTTTGAGTCAATCTTTTTCAAAATATAGTCTTACACAAGATAAATGAAAGATTTGTATTCCTAATAAAGGAACACCTAAGTGTACGTTTACCTACTTGATAGTATTTGCAACAAGACGTCTTTTTCAAGACTCAACTCCTACTAAAAAAAGGAATTCTCATCGAATGTGCCAAGTGGCTAAGTTACTCGCCCATCTTCAAACTCTTTAGAGCAGGACAAGATTTGGCCTCTTTATTAACTTTTCTGGAAGGTTCTATATTCTGTTGTGGATGTCAGCATTATATTACCTTTACGAAATCACCACAAGTACAAACGACTGCTTGTGTTGCACAGTATTTTTTTAATTAACATTGTGACCACACTATTGTGTCCTGAGTACTTAATGCTAGTTTCTCAACTAGGCATGAAGAAATTATCTACTTTATGAACTATCCATGCTTCATGTTTAATCCCAAATTGACTACCCTGACCCTGTTAGGAACACACCCTATGAAAATATAGACAAACACTGTCCTTAGCCAAAAACAGGAAAGAAAATGAAACCAAGCCAAACACCTTGAGCCCCACAAGGACTCATGTGTCATCTTTAAGATCAGACTATAGGATGTTCTTACCAAAGAGGCGGGAAAACTGAAGGTTTTAAGGAACAAGAGGCTCCAGGCTACTCTACTGCTTACTCAGTCCTATAACTGAAATTATGGACCCCTCAGCTATGAATAGTACTTGAACTCTGACTTGTGCATGACAGAGGGACATGGGCTTAGCTCTGGCCTGCGCAGTGCCCGGCACCTGCAGATGAGGACATTCTGGCCCTGCGCACCCTTGTGTGTCAGCACCAACTCACTAAGGAAAAGTGCTCAATTGTGACGATGGCTCAGAATGGATTTTTTTATTTCAGAAATTACTTTTTAAAACGTGGTTCTTCTTCAGTGCTTTTGATCCCAACTTCTAAAAATTACTGACTTGACACTGGCTATTACCAAGTCTTGCTTATTAGCTCAACCAGATTCAAAATAAGCCTCACAAACGAGTGGCAAAAAGCCACAACTGATGAATTCGGCCACCCGGGAGATTTATACCAAGAAGGTCAGACCACACTTACTGCAAACGTAAGCTGTCAGTGATAAAACAAACACCAAGACACTGCACACGCTATTTAAAAACTGAAAGCCAAAAAGGACCTGAAGATTTCTTGATGTTAGAAACAATCCTGACTGAAGTACTTCTTAAATTCTCTTTTCTTTTTCTTTTTTTGACTGAAGAAAGCATAACTGTGGAGTCAATTTCTTTTGTAACTCCCTATACTCATATAAAGACTGACCTAAAATGCTAAAAAGAGCAAGTACTTTAATATACAAATTTTAAATTAATTCCAAAGAAGTTAACCCAGCGCCTACGTTGAGAACTGTGCCAGTGGTTCTGCTTCAAGCGCACGTGCCACTACTACCACTATCTGCCAGTGGGACGGTGGGACAGTGGGACGGTGGGACAGTGGGACGGTGGGACAGTGGGAGGGATTCCGTAACCCCAAATTCATCCTCTTAACACTCGATGGCATGCACAGCAATGCATCAGCTGATGGCGGTCTGCACCCACCTTTGATGCGTTTCCCTCCAGAAGATGAACAGAGCTCACAGGCTCTTTGTCTGAAGCCAGTTCACAATTTTAATGAGACTGGCGTATTTGAGAATCAATTTGAAATGACATTAGGATCTTTGAGTTGAGCTTAAGTTTTATTCTGTGTCCATACTAACCAACTGCACTAACTGATTTTCCAAGTTAGTCGTAAGAGCAGCACTAATTCTCTCCAAAGTGAGGGCCTGTAATAAGAGGATACGTAATTCCATAGTAGCTGCCAGGCCAAATGAATATTTGTAACAGTGTGAATGCATCAGAACCCAACGAGCTGTGGCAATAAGCCTTGCAAACAAGGCCTCCCGTGGAAAAACTTAAGAATGAAACGCTGAACAGAAAATGTAAACTACAACCTGAGATTACATCACGGCCATAGTAACAAAATATGAAAATTAATATTTAAAAAATGTTACCTGATCAAGAATTCTTCCCATTCTGTCAAATAAAACTTTCAAAAAATGACCTTCAAAGAATGCTGCTTCTAAGTTGCACTTTTCCAACGCTTTTGGAGACCCAGGCCATTCCCACCTTAAGCAGATAGCACAGTAGTCCCGGAACTGGGGAAAAAATATTTGCCTTATTAAAGAACTACCAGATAATAAGTGAAGACGAAACAGAAATAAGTTCCTCAAACAGACGTCATGAACCATCTGAACGAAGCAGCACATCTATGTGCGAGGGACCGTAGGGGAGGAGAGAGAGGTGACTGAGTGTCCGACAAGGAGGGCCCCAGGGACGATTAGGGCTGGCAGAAAGTAGAACAAGACGGTGGGGGGAAAGGCATATTTTTAAATTTCTTTTTATGTTTTGGTACTGGGAATCAAACTCAGGACCTTGCACTTGCTGGGCAGATGCTGTACCAGTGAGCTAACTCCCTGGCCCCAAAACGGTCTTATTTTAACTTCATTAGGATATTCTCTATGCAGTCAGGACATGCTGGTACATGCCGAGAATCTGAGGCAGAAGGATCACAAGACTGAGGCCAGCCGGGGCTAAAAGTCAGTTCAAGGCCAGCCTAGAATATAGCAAGACTGTCTTTTTTTTAAAAAAAAATCTCTTTAAGCTGTGCATATGCTTTTCCTTTATTTCATCTTTTTTATTTGTGTTTTTTTTTTTGAGGTAGGGATTGCTACGCAGTTTAGGCTGTCCTTAAACTCTGTGATCCTCCTGCCTCAGTCTCCTGAATGCAGGATCACAGGCCTGCCGCACCTTGCCTAGCTCTTCCTTTAAAGTAATTTAGCCCTTTAGGTATTTTCATAATACATTTAGATTAGAGCACGCTGACAAAGCAAAGGTGGTCTTAGCCAAGCTCTCAGATGCTCCAACACTTTACACAGGCCGGGTGAAAGCTGCTCATCGCCGATCGGGGTGCGCCCACATGGTGCATGCTGCTGCGAGGGGCTCCGGGCCTGGACTGCTGGTAGCTGTCCCCACGGAGACGCGCACAAGGAGCAGGAAAAGGAGCTAGGCTTTCCATAGCAATTCGACTAATTTAATGTTTGCTGAATCTGACACTAAAATAATTGGACTTCTGTCCTTTCCTTCATTTTCTTAGTAATTCATTTTTATTTTACAGAAGCGTAAGTACATTACAGATTAGAAATAATAAAAACTATTCCTTCACTATTCCTTTCAGTACTTATCACTGAAAGATTAATCCGTATGAGCACAAGAATATCTTCTGTAATAAAAACTAATTTAAAAGGTTTCTTCAATATGTAATTTACTTTAAAAATTCAAATAAATTTTCTTTTACACTTTCTCTTTTCAAAATTTCTTCATCAGCACAGCAAACTTTCAAGACCTCTGTACTTTGAAAATTACAGGAAAATAATATATTCTCATCAAAAGCATTACCGTCTGCTTTAAAAAATACATTTAAAACAATTAAAAAGGCAACTCCATCAATATACTCTGAGTTTTAAATTCATCTAGTTTCTAAGGTAATTTTCTATAAAAATTCATCCAATTTTATGTCATTTTTAAATTAACACTTGAAATCTGACCTCTAGGTAGTAGCTGTAAATTTTTTATCCTTTTTATCTGTTTTTTTTAACACTTCTGAAACAATCATCTTAACTGTATTTATAATAAAAAAATGGAAATGAGGGAAACTTTACAAAAATAACTCAAGTTGCTTAAAATTTCAAATGGCAGCACTGAGAAATTTTTTTATTCTTAATTCCTTTATCAGCTTGTTCTGGCAATGTTACTTGCTATCTCATTACTCTAGTTACTTATACATTAATGGAAGCTTGAATTTCCAGGTTTAAAGTGTGACTTAACTGGACGCAATCCAAAGGATTGAAACAAAATTTAATGTATATTTTCTGATGTTAAAAATTTCAAAATTTTTAATTTTCAAATTTTGAAATTCACTTTCCAACTCTGAAATACTCTATTACAGTTGCTTATTTAATAAATACTAGGGACTGATATCTCAGAGTCAGTTACGTCACTTACCTGCCTGTGAGCATCTCGGAGGTAGGTGTCATAGCCAGTGCCCTCAACGTGGTAGGATGATTTGGCTTCATCCGGTACCAGACAAAGAAAACTTAAATGAAAAAGGCCATCACAATCAATGACAGAAATAACTCTCGTACCGTCTTTGTATCTAGTGTATGTAATGATAGCTTAAATTTAGCCAAGCCTTAATACAAATGAAAAATTGCAAAATAAAGTTATAGTTTAGATTCTTATCTTTAGTAAAGTTTTACAATGAGCTGGTTACTTTTCTACTGTTTTAGAGGTTTTAAAAGGCATTGATTCCATTTTAACTAGAAATAAGCCTAAGAAAGTTTTTTTTTTTTTTGATTGCTGCACAGTGCTAGATTATTTATGTACTAATCTTAGGAAACTGGTTTTTAAGTAAATGAACCTGAAACTGGTTTTTATGTAAATGAACAAATTTTTATGTACCACAATTTGCATGTTAAGCGATGTGCAGTTTTTTAAATGCCACCTGACCAACTTAGGTATGCCAGTGAAGGAAAAAGAGAAAAGAAAACTGCCACAGAGAAGGTATCTTAAAGTAAAAAAAGAAAAAGTAAAATTCTGAACTAAAAATAAAAGAAACAGTCCTGTGCTTAATTAACACACATGCTTAATAAGAATGATTTGTCAAACTGGCAATTCTCAACACTGTAGTAATTGGGAATTACTTAACATAATGCCATATTTTTTAAAAAACTAAGCTACTTAGGGGTTTAGTTATTTACTGATTTTTTGAAAACTGTTTTTCTATTAAGCAGAGCATTTCTCAGGGTACCAAGTAATGTTTCCTGGCCATCACCTGCCACATAATCAAGATGACAACACTGACGTAAGGTCTGAAGAAGCTGGAGCTCTTAGTACGTTCCTGGAACAAGGAGCACAGTTGCTCCATGTTACGAAGAAATAAAAGGGAAGTTCGCCAAATGTGAACAGCAACTCACCTATTTACAATTTTGTGGACTTCAGTCTTCCCGTCATTCTTAGGGTGGTCTGGTGTAGGTGGAGGTGAAGAACGAAGCCACTCTTTCTTTGACAAAGTATTATCTGGTGAAATGTCAGTAAATAATGGATCTTCTTCCAGATCTCTAAGTTTAATTTAATGATGTATAAAAAAATTATTATGGCATTTTCTAAAGCAAAGGATTCTCTATGTTCTGAGAAAACATTACATAATCTTTCTGAGATATATTTATTTTATAGAAAAATTCCTGTTTTATGCTAACAATATCAAGGATATGCTAATTCTGTTAGATTGAATGAACAGAAAATTCCTTGTAATTTAAAAGGATGGTGAAAGTATCAGGTCATTTAAATTTTACTCCTAAAATCTTTAAGTAAGGGATCTTTTTTTCTTTTGTCTTTTTGTCTCACTACATAGCTCAGGCTGGCCCTGAGCTCACTATGCAGGCCAGGCTGGCCTCCCTCGAACTTGTAAGGATCCTCCTGCCTCAGCCTCTTGAGTGCTGGGATTAGAGGCGTACACCACCACTCCCATCTTAGAGGGATTTTTTCTTTTTTTTTTTTTTTGAAGCATGCGGGCAAGAACTAGGAGGTCGGAAGCTGACCCTGTGGAACACTGACTGCACAGAGATGGGCAATAACTTACACTGCGCCTGCTATTAATCCATTCTCTACCACATCTTTGTCTTCCGGGCACACAGGCTTATATTCTGTGTAATTTCTTTCTTCAAGATTTCTCAGGACCAAGTTGTAAAGAATGTGCTCATTGGGTTTTTGTAGAAGATGTTCAAACATCCTCAGTGTCATTATGCTGATCTGAAAGTAAAATTGATACAAACTAACTGAAAAACATCTTCAAATATGCTGCTCTTTTTGCCATCTTGTACATCATGCCTTTAACGTGTAAAGCCACATACAACTGAGGAGCCATCTTTAAGACACCACAAGTATACTACAGTCAGCATGTCAAAGAAGCTAAGTCCAGTACTAAGCCATTACACAGCTTACCTCATCAGATATGTGATCACAATGTTCGATTAACCTATGCCTTAAAGGATGTCTGCTCATCTCTGCAAGAGTCTCTGGTTCTCTCTGCTCGCCGAGGATGAAAACCACCATTTCTTGAAGCAAAACATCAGAAGTTACTTGCCGAACAATGCGATGAAGCAGAGCAGTCGACGTCAGAATACCCATCTCAGAACTGAGCACAATAAACAGGCACTCAGTGGGCACAGTGGGCACAGAGTAGGGTGTTTGTTACTGTCTTGTTGCTAAGGAAAGAGGCTACTCACGTTTGCATTAACTGAGGTTCCATAACGCCGATGAAAAATCTTTCATGAACAGCTTTGGCAAGAGCAACAGCAGCAGTCTGAAACACAGTGTTAGCATCATTTTGTTAATGGAAAAGAGAGACTAATCCGTATCATCAATAAATCACTTGCACTCTTCATATGGAAATGTGGAAGAAAAAGCTTGCCTATGGACCACAAACCTAGATTAGATGCTTGCTGTTGGGTCACTTTTTTCATTCCCCCCAAATAAAAGGAACAGTACCAAAAAAAGGAGAATTATTTCAGAAACATACTCCTACAGAAGGCTAGAAAGAAGCCTATGATGCACTGTACCGTAATATGAAGAATTATAAAAGGGCAGAACTTGAATTTGCATTTGTTCCAGAATTGTAATGTACACACCTGATTTTTGGTTTATTTATTTCACTAAAAATAATATCCTAAGACAAAATGTATTTGGAGATATACACTAAGGAGTCAAATTTCACTTAGTAGAAACTTAAATTTTAAAATTATCAGTAAGTAATAAAAATCCTCAAACCTTTTGGGCTTCCTTAATCAGCTGATCACAATAATCAAACCAGGAGAGAAAGGAAATTAAGGCTCGTTTTCCCGGAAATGCTGAAGCATCTTCTTTGTGACTGTATGAATCCAAGCTGCAGGACACGGAAGAAAGGCTGAGCCCCATGTATTCAAAAGCATGAAACCTACTTAGCAGGTACAGAAAGGTGAAGCTGCGCAGATGAATGCAGCACACCTGGTAGGACAGAGTCACAGAGGCAATGCTGGGTGACAATCAAAAAAGGATTTATAAAAGAAGCCAAAGATAAGAGAAGACCTTTTAAATAAAAATTGTAAATCACTTTTACTTCTTAAGTGGGAAAAGAGGCTAAAACTGAATGGAGCAGCAGGAGAAAAACCTTTTAGACAGCGCCTCATAACTCTGCCAAAAATCTGACCAAGTGACTACAATGCAAAGGCAGAGGTTCTCAGCTGCTGGGACGCATGACAAAAAGGGTCTGGAGATCCGAAGAAAGACTAAGTGACTGGCGAGTGCTTTCCTGGCCTTAAAACATGACACAGCCATAAGGGAGGCAAGTATGTCTTCCCAGGAGATGCTGGCACAACATAGTTGGAAAAACAAGTTAAAAAAAAAGAGCAAAGGGCTAGCCAGGCATGGTGATGCACACCTACAATCCCAGCGCTTGGCAGGACGATTGCTGTACGTTCCAGGCCATGGTGGGCTACAAAGTGAGTTCAAGGCCAGCCTGAACTACATATGAAACCCTGTCTCAAAAACCACCAAAGGGGGTGGGGAGATGGCTCAGTAGAATAAGCGCTTGCTTGGCAAGTGCAAGGGCCTGAGTTCAATCCCCAGTTCCGCAAAAAAAAAAAAAAAAAAAAACAAAAAACAAAAAACAACACACCAAAAACCAAAACTTAAAAACTCTCAAAAACAAAAACAAAAGACTAAATATTTAGAGAAAAACACTAAACGGTAATTACATCAAAATATTAGGTGTTTATAGGTGGTAGCATTATGATTTATGTTGCTTTATATTTTAATAATTTATAAATTTTCTGAAATAGCTATATTTTCCTATGTGAATCAAGCAAGGGAGCCTAAAAGGGTAGGGACGTAAAAAATGAAAGAGGAGCCAGGGACAGAGCTCGGCAGCATTGTCACTGCCTGGCAAGCACATGGTCCTGTCCCAGATATCCACAAGAAAAAAATAAACAACTGAAATGGCAATTCTATATATGCATATAAGCTAGAGGCACAGGAGACTGTTCTAGAGGCCATAAAAGTTGTTTATATAGAAGGAGATCCTTTTTTTTTTTTTTTTTTTTATGGTACCAGGGATCGAACTCAGGACTTTGCACTTGCCGGGCAAGCACTTATTCCACTGAGCTATCTCCCCTGCCTGAGATCCTCTTTAAGAATTTCTGTTTTTAATAAAAATAAGCAGGTAAAGTTATTGGTCTTCACGTAAATCCTTAAAAATTTATCAGTACAACGGAGAAAATAAAAGTTCCTCAGCTACAGCATATAATAGATGGACTGTCCCCACACCAGCCCGTTACCACTGCCTGATCAATCTAGTGCAAGTCGTAAGAAATCTTTCCCACTTAACAATCTCTACTAGTGTTGCCTTTTTCAAAATTAAAGATTTCTAGTGTTTTAAAACATAGGTCTAAGGAGTCACCTCTACGGGATAATCCAGAGAATGCTGCTTACCCCCAGTTAATGGCTTCCACGGTCTCAATGTCCAAGGGGTCCACCGACGGAGGCAGGGCCCGGTACAGGGAGGCCAGCCTGTCGGTCAGCAGTTCGCACAAGCAAGTGCTCTGGGTAAGGCACTTAGCAGCTGCAGGCTCTGGCAAACTGACTAACAGCATCAAGCCCTCGCAGGCTTTCACAGCTATCCGGCCATCCTAAGGGGAAAAACATACCCCTTCAATTCTTAAATCAGATACAAACAGAAACAATTACACTGTCGAAGATGATTCAACACAAAAGGATTTTTTTCCACTTTAAATGCTTATTACTGTGATTATGTGAGGGGGCAAAAAGTAAAGATGATGACTCACAGGGCTTCGGGTAAGATTTAGTAAAGAATTCACTAAATTGTAATCATGGTTTGGGCGGACGACGGAGGCCTCTGGCAGTGACGCGGAGCTGAGGTCATCCAGGCTTGTGGACAGGTTGTCCGCCTGGGGCGGGGGCTCTTCCTCGGGCTCGGTGCGCTCCGCTGCGGCTGCACCAGGCAGCTTCTCCGATTGCTGACACTGGCCGGTATCAGTTGACAAGGAATCCTGACCTTTGAACGCGTCTTCTGAAATCACACTGGGCGCCCCTTTAGAAGCCCAGGACTTCAGCTTGTTCTGCAGAAGAGTACATGCTTTGAAAGGTTCATGTTAAGAGCTCTACGCAGCAGAAGTCATAGTCAGGGAAGTTTTCTGCAATTAACATTTCACATGCTTAACTGACATAGCAGAAAGTGTTATATCAGATAGAAATATGCAGTTAACAAATCATGTTTTAGATATAGTTCTCAAAATGCAAAGAAATCAGTGACCCTCTGCACAACTATGAAATGTTTTACACCAATCGTATGTAACCAGTGGTACAGCCACTACTACAGAATTTGACTACATCTAAAAACGGTATCAGTGGGGGGAAATTTTCAATTTCAGGCCTTTTCTTATCACTAGGTTACTGTAAATACATGATCTCAACATTACCATTTCTAAGGTCATGGGGGGAGGCACATTTATGAACTAAAACGAAGTTATCAAGCTTAGACTTGGTTTCTACAAAGCTGACAAATTTTTTAAATATGTGAGAACTTCTAAGGTTTTTTTTTTTTTTTCTTTTCTGTTTCTGCTCTATAAAAACACAAAAGGTTACTCTGAGGGTGTCTTTATTTGTGTCTGAGGACAAGCAGATTTGCTTGAAATCTTAGTATGTCCCCCCAAGCCGCAGACACAGCCAAACACAAAGAGAATCTTAACTGAGGCAAATGGTTAGTCTCAAGGGAAAAGCGCTTTACTTTCTGCTGGGATAAAAGAGCAAAAGCCAAACCACACACACAAGCTGAAACTCCTCACAAGCCAGTTTCTCCGAAGGGCCTGGCACACTGCTCTGCTGCTCAGAGGCATCATACAGGCTGAAGGACTAAAGGGTTCCACTTCTAAAGTTACGATGCAGCAATTATAAATCGTTTCTACTTTAAAAGTAGATTTAAAAAGGTTCTCCTCGAGCGACCGGGCTGGTGTATTAAAGAAAACCAGAGGCTGCCTTTCTTCCAGTGAACATGTGCGGCCGAGCGTGTCCGGAGTCATGCGCCTTCCATTCTGTCCCACTGAACATCACCAGATACCTGCCCATTATCTCCGTCAGGTATCATGGAGATTCAAAGCGTGCGGAACCCAAATGAGCACCTTCCCCTCCAAATAAGCACTCTGCAAGCTCAAGCCCTTCTTTCTGCGCACTAAGCAGCTACTTTTGGTTCTGGATTTCAGGCATTCGAAGAGTATCTTCTCTGCCCCCTGCACCTGAGCAGCTGTATTACGTAGAGACCCCCCCATCCCTGAATCAGTGGCACCGCCTTCTGCTCACCTACTGCCTTCAACCTAGTTACAGGCCTTGCTTCTTCTTGTCTCCATTAATCCATCAGCTTCAAGCTGTCCTCCCAAAGGCAGTCACTGTGCAAAATGCTCCCAGCAAATCTCATCTCTGAATGCACAGACAACGTGCATGACAGCCCTGCTCCTCGTGCCTTCCAGTCAGCACGAGACCCGTGTTGTGGCTCAGAGCCTATGACAAACTGTAGCCTGTCCGTTCTGGCTCATTGCTATCCATGTTTCTGTACTATACTGTTTCTTAAACACATTCCATTCTTCATATTTCCATATTCTGATCTAACATCTGCTAAACACATTTCAAAGACCTCTTTCACAAAGTCCTTCCTGACCATCCCAAGCTGATGTTATCTCTTCCTCCTATAGGCACTTCCAGCAGTTCCTGCCACCTTCTTAGGTTTCTCATCCTACCCTCCCTTAGGTCACTGTAGAACACTCACTTCACCATCTTCATCAGACCACAATCATCTCTGGGCAAGACTATTCCTAACAGATCTACCACATACGATTTAACTTAACCCAAAGTAGTGTATACGGTAACAGATACGACTGCACACAGATTTCAGGGGACAAAAGCATGAGAACTGCAAAGCACTTTCGTTACTATCTATACTTAAAGCAGTAAAACTGCCCTGCCCTCAGGATTTACTCATTCAGTAAAAGTTCATGAAGCAGTTACTGCGCTTTGCACTGGACACTAGAGGGGCTGTGGAGACCCAAAGATTAATGAGACAGAGTCCTGGTGCTCGAGATGTTTATTGACCAGCGGGAGAACTGGAACGGACACATACACTTCCAGTGCTAGAGAGGAGATAATAACAGATGTTAAAACAGCTGAACATTTCTATCTGCTCAGAAAAATGGAGTTAGCTGCCACCTCTGGCTTTGGAGAAACAGATACTAGAAAAATGCAGCACAAAGCTGATACACTGCTATTTGTACTACGGTTTAGAGGTGTTTCTCACCATTCACACCTACACGCCCACACACTTCCTCTGCTTCTGATCTAGGCCATACAGTTCCAAAGCAAGTCCTAGAAACTGGGAGAAAGAAACCCACCAACCTGAAGTTTGGGGAAAATTTTCTGCATCCAAATTACACTAAGTTATCCAATAAAACTTCCAAAATCTTACTTAACCAAATTGATCTCTTTCTCTCCTTCACTCCCTTCCATTTTATCCCCTGGGGTACTGGCTGGGATTGAAGTGAGAGCTTCCACACTGAGCTACATGCCCATCCCCTTTTCAATTTTTTTTATTTTGAGGCAGGGCCTTGCTAAGTCACTAAGTTACCCAAATTGAGCTCAAATTTGCAGTCCTCCCACCTGATCTGCCACAGTACTGGGGTCACAGGCCTATGCCACCATGCCTGGCAAGCTGATGTTTTTATAAATATATTAAAAACCAAAAGTACTATAATGATACTCTCATTAACAACTCGGTAGAAATCTGAAATACTAGAGAAGCTAGGAAAACCCAAAGATTAGTGAGATAAAGTCCTTGAGTTCAAGGAGCTTACAACCAACAAGAAAAAATGAAATGTACACAAATAATTCCAGTGCTAGGGAGGAATTTATTATAAACAGGGACATTAAAAGCATATGAACACTACTGTCCACTCAGAAAAACAGAGGGAGCTTCCACCTCAGGCTTTGGAGAACAATTTTAAAGCAAAGCTGGAAAATAAGACACAAAATATGATGCATATCATGAAAAAAGAGGAAGCTGAAGTCTTTAACACTAACTACAAATTAGAATTTACAAAGTTTTGCAGCTGGGCTGCTAATGCACTTCCTCAAAAATGCATTATAATAGAAAACCTGAATTACTTATTTAAAATATGTGAAGTAGAAGACAAATCAATGTATCAGGATAGCTAACATTAAAAAACAAACAAAAAACCCAGATGACACCCAGTGCTAGGCAAGAAAACAGAACAGGAGCTCATGTGCACTGCTAGAGAGACGTGAGATGACAAACCCGCTACGGAAAACACTGGCAATTTCTTACAAAAATAAATCTACAGCTACAACATAACCTGGCAATCCTACCATTAAGAATTTTTCCAAGTGAAATGAAAACCTAAACTCAAGCAATAGTCTGTGTGTGACTCTTTTTTTAAAAAAATATTTATTTATTTGTGTGTGTGTGTGTGTGTGTGGCCAGCTCAGCCCACCAGGGGGCGGGGCTGGCTGGCACATGGTGCTGGGGGATTGAACCGCGGTCCCTGTGCTTTGCTATGCTTGTTCTAAGTAGGTGCTTTAGACCACTGAGCCATCTCACCAGCCCTGTGTGTAACTCTTTATGGTGGCTTTTTTCCTAATTGTCAAAAACTAGAAACAGCCCCAAAGTCCCCCACAGATGAATAAACAACTTCAGTGCTATTATACAATGGAATCCTCACCAGCATAAGCAAACAGTCATACATGAGAGGATATCGGGAAAGGAAGAGCAGTGGCTGCTAGAGGGAAGGTGACGTGAAAGGCTGACGAGGGGCAGAGGGCAAGGATGAAAGTTCTGTGTATTTGGACTGTGGCTAGTTACATAGTTATATTTATTTGTTGAAATCAGATCCGTAGGCCACCCTGGCAAGCACAAAGTCCTGAGTTCAACTGCTAGTTACACACCTCCCCAAAAAAAGAACAGTAGACCAAAAAGAATGAAGTACACTCTATGTAAGCTACACTTTAATTTTGAAGAAAGAAGACAAAGATTAGTTTTTAAACTAACAAGGCAAAGACAGCCTAACCACCTCTTCTAAGATATTCCTAAACACTTAAACTACTAGAAAAAGAAAAAAACTGAATGAAAGCAAGAAGTACACAAAACTTACATTCTACTTTAAAACTGGTAATAAAATCCAAAATATCACTTGATTTAGAAAACTGGGTTTTGTGACAATCCCAACTGCCATCCGCAGTTGGAGAGTTGACCTATGATCTACTAGAGCTGGTCCAAATCTGTCTACACCATCCTTAACCACACCAGATTATCCAGGCCAGACAACAGTTCCCCCAGCCTCCCCCAAAATATGCCATTTTATAAACTTTTACGAGTTCTGGATGCATCTGTCCTTTGCCTTTGTGTCTGTCCGAATCAGTATGGCCCCACATATCTGGCTCAACTGCACTCCTTGAAAATCTTTTTGCCTCATGATAATGCAATGAGTAAACTGATCTTAAATGAAAACTAACTCTAGGAAGTGAAAGACGCCATCTAACAACTTGCAGATGTAATTCCTTCTAGGATACCGCTCTCCTAACAAGCTGAGCACGCATAGTTTGACGGTTAAGCCACAGAGCCTACCTCCAGGAAGAAGTTCACCAAGTAGGGATCCTGCTTCAGCTTTGCACACACAATACACAGAAACTGAATCTCTTCATTTTCCGTCGGTGTTGCTAGTACTTCACCACAGAGTCGAATTAATTTCTGTCAAAACATTTTTAAAGCTTATTAAAAAATGTAAATGGCCATCTAGTTACCTTAATGATATCTAACATTTTCAAATAATAGAAATATATTAATTAGAACACTAACAATCTTTACCATCATCTATATCTAAGTAAATTGATTTTTATCCAAAAAATTAATAAGGTATACAATAAACTTTACTCACAAAGTCATGGAGGTAAAGTAAAAAGAAAATTAAGGTACAAAACTTAAAATAGAGCTACAAAGATATGAAGTACACTCCCTATGGAGCTCAGGCCCCTGCAAGGTGGTGGAGGGCTGGGCTGTGATGTCACTGGAAGCGGGGTTCATGGAGCCACCCTTGGAGGGGCTGCTGGACCTGTCTACCTGCACACCTGGGGGCAGGGAAGCTTCTGGAAGTGGCGCAGATGCGCTTCGTGACTTCTACTGGCTGTGGGCTGCATGAGGACCCTGGGGAACCCTCCCGCCTCACAGAGGAGGCTTTGAGGACATGGTTGTTAACTTCACTGTGGAGAAGTGCTAAACCCATCCTAAAAGAAGCTCTACAGAGATCTGATGAGGGAAACATGTACATGGCCACTATAGGAAGAACCTGGGATAGCCAGAAGACTGAAGAATATAAAACTACTGGGCAAATCTAAGAAATGAAGAGATGGAGAGAAACGCTACCAACATAATGCTCGGAATCCATATGAAGAAATATCCCTTAGCACCACAGATGCTACTATGGACATGAAATGAACTGTTCTATTTATTTTTTCTTTTTCTTTTTTTTATGTATTTAGTACAGGGTCTGCAGGGTCTCACTACACAGATCGGACTTGTAGTGATCCTCCTGTGTTTAGCCTCCCAAGCACTGGGATTACAGGCGTGTGCCACCACACCCAGTCTCAGTCGTGTCTCAGCATGCCCCGGGGGTGGGGTCAGCACAGCATGCTGGGGATCAAACCCCAATCCCTGTGCCCTCATAAGCAGACATTTTAGTTTGCTGAGCTATCTGGCTGGCCTGAAACAAACTGTTTTAAAACTAGCTGAAACTGTGCTTGTAGAAAATACCTGATTGGTCATTTATGACTAAATGGGCCCATTAGAGCTCACACCGGACTGAAGTCATATAAGTACTTTGGATTTAAAGAGAAGCTGCACAAATGCAACAAAGATATAAGAACCTGTGATTCCTAGTCCTTTGAGAAGTATGCAAGGACTGCAGTTGAGAAAAACTATCAATGTGAGTAATGTGGGAAAGCCTACTCTGATTTTTTGGGGAACTCATCCTGCAGAGAAGACCACAATACGTAGGAAAAGTATGAAAACCCCCAGCAAACCCAATGGCATTCAAATCCATGAAATGAAAGAAATCACACTGGGGACAGACCCTAGGCTTGTAAGCAACTTGGGAAAGCCTTCACTACACTTGGTTATTCTCAAAAACATGAGAGAAATCACGCTGAGGAGCAACTTTTATGTATGTTGGCAACGTGGGACAGCCTCTAGAACACACAGCATGAGGAACCTCACACTGGGAAGAAACTATGTGTGTAGAGAATGTGAGAAAGTGTTCAGTACACATAAATACTGTTAAGGACATGAAAGAAGTCACACTGGGGAGAAACCCTATGAACGTGAGCAATGCAGGAAAGCCTTCAGGAGACTCACCCATTGTCACAGACATGAAAGAAATCACACTGGAACTAAATCCTAGCAATGAGGGAAAACATTCAGGTCACATGCTTGCTTCCAGCATGAAAAAGGGCCAGGTAAATAGCTGGTGCAAAAAGCACCTGCCTGGCAAGTGCAACGTCCTGAGTTCAACTCCCAATACAAGTAAAAAAGGAAAAAAAATAACATGAAAAAGCTCATAGTGGGGAGAAACCCTAGGTGTGTAAGCATTCTGGGAAAGGCTTTGCTACTAAATCCTCACTTTGTAAATATAAAGTAACTCATACTGAGGGGTAACCCCTATATATGTAAGCAGAGTGGGGAAACATTCAGCAGAGATATACAAAAGAAGTCATGCTGGGGAGAAACCCTATGTACACAAAAGCCTATTCTTGTGACCATTTCTCACATAGTGGACAGCAGTACAATATATAATATGAGAAATCTAAGGTCAATTATTTTCTCATAAATTTTCTAGAAAATACATTCCCAGGTGGAGATATCTTAAGTATAAATATAGTGTGTTCTTAAATAAATCTCTGGGTTATATATCTGTAGTGCTCACTAAAAATTGATTTGACATGACTTATAAAAAAACTAAGTCATAAGAATTTGCTCCTATGTTTTCCTTACAGAAATTTCATAGTTTTATAAAGGTTTATGACCCATTTGACTAAACTTTTATAAAAAGTAAAGTATTGCTCAAAGTTTGTTGTTTTATGTGTGAATATGTTGCTCCAGCATTATTTGTTGATAAAGGATATCCTTTCTCCATTAAATTATTTTACATTTTTGTAAAAAAAAAGAAGTGCATGTAATGCAATCACATATAAGGAAAACCCTAGTAAATGCTAACTTGCATGTTATTTTTTAGAATGATTTATTAATCTCAGATTTATAAAAAAAAATAACACAACTATTTCTACTCTAAGAAATCAAGAGAAATATTTTTATGTAAGAACAAAATACCTGCACAGGCCGGTGCACATTAATGTGTGGAAGTAGTGGCTGCCGGATTCTCCCCAGAAGTTTAGTATAGAACACCAGCACCTGCTGTTTCATTCCTGGAGGACACTGGGTAAAGCAGAAAGGCAAACAGGAAAAGAAGAGAAAATACAAACATTTACTCAAAGCTTAAACAATATTTATAAATGTATTCATCAAGACAATTTGACCATTTAATAAATAATTAAAATATGTCAATAAAAAATTTTTGTGTGTGTGGGTTTTTTTGACACAGGGTCTCGCTTTGATTGGCTATGAAGCAGGGCCGGGGAGATAGCTCAGTAGAATAAGTGCTTCCCTAATTGGCTATGAATTCACAGCAATCCTCCTGCCTCAGCCTCTCAAGTTCTGGGATTACATGTGTGCACCAGAATAAAAATTTTATTTATTTATTTATTTTTTTGTGGAACCAGGGATTGAACTCAGGTCCTTGCGCTTGCCAGGGAAGCACTCATTCCACTGAGCCATCTCCTTGGCCCAGAATAAAAATTTTAATCAACATTAATGACTGGAATTCTAGAAATAAAATTACACAGTTGAACCATAACAGTATAAGAGACCAGGGCCTCGCGTAATTACAAGCAGCGTGGTGATAACATGCTGAGAAGAGAGATTTGTTTAGGCAACGTCAACTGGGTAAATGCTAGGTGAGCAGGAACTCTTACTCCTTGCCAAAGCACAGGCAGACTCTTACGTATCCTAATGATGGGAATCAGTAACTTCCCGTACCTACATACAGGAGTATAAAGAGGCTCTCTCCCCCTCTCTCGCTGTGGACTGAGCATGAATCAGCAAGGTTATATACTCCACAAATAAGCCGTTAATACTGCCTCCCATACAAAATAGTCACAAAATGAGTTACCTATAGAAAATCATAATGACATGCCAACTAGAAATAGTATAATTTAAGAACTACAAAAAATAATTCTTATAACCTAATATTTTTTAAGCTCACAAACATATTGTATTATTCAGATTAAAAAAACCAATATTCACCATCACCTATGTAAAAATATATTTGCTAGTAGCACAATTACTAATTTAGGGCTCAGAAAATCATCTAATACTTACTCAATTCTATGTTATTTTGTCCCTCCAAAGAATAGGAGAAACTAGGGAAGAGGTGAATGAACTGCAAGTTATTCGGGAACAGATTTGTTGCTTAGAAAAATACACTTGGATTCTATTGGAGTTAAAAAATGAATTGGGGGGGCTGGTGAGATGGCTCAGTGGTCTAAAGCACCTACTTAGAACAAGCTAAGCTAAGCAAAAGCACAGACCGCGGTTCAATCCCCAGCACCACATGCCAGCCAGCCCCGCCCCCTGGTGGGCTGAGCTGGCCACACACACACACACACACACACACACACACAAATAAATAAATTAAAAAAAAAAATGAATTGGAGCACTATAGACTTAGTTAAAAGGAGACCGTGTTGAATACTATTCATAGATCTATTTGGTAATAAATGTATCTTTTAGTTTAGTTTTTCAAATGTATTATAGGAAATTACAGAACAGAACCATAGATTTTTAGAACTGGGGACACCTAGTTAGCAGTAACTTCCACGTTTTTTTTTTTTTTTTTTTCGGAACCAGGGATTAAACTCAGACCCTTGCGCTTGCCAGGGAAGCGCTTGTTCCACTGACCCAGCTCCTCGGCCCACTTCCACGGTTTTAAAGAACAGAGAGAATAACCAGCAGTCACAGTGTGTTAATGACAAAACTGCGATTGCACGCCAGGTCTTCTACCTGGAACCAAAGTTCTTCCTTTTCCCTCAAGCCACCACATGTAAGGGGTGAACAAAATATATGGTGAAGGTTCCAATTTTTAGAAAATTATTACAATAAAAAAACACAGGGCTAAGGCTGGGGAGATAGCTGGGCAAAAGTGCCTGGCTGATCAGCACAAGGACCTGGGTTCGATTCCCAGTATTGTATGCCCTATTGGCCCAGCACCATGCCAGCCACTGAAACCAGGTATGGTGGCACATGCCTGTAATCCCAGTGCTGGGGAGGCTGAGACAGGAGAATCCCTATGAGTCCAAACTACATAGAGAGACCCTGTATCAAATAAAAGATTAAAAATAATAACACATGGTCATTAACCCCGCTCAAAATATCCCCTCTCGCTTTGAACACAAGTATTCCGTTATTCTTGCCACTTTCTGAAACAATTCTGGAAGTCTTCTTTCGTGTTGTTTCATGTCCTGAGCTGATTAAAAGTGTTTATGGCAATTTCTATCACATAAAAAAAACTTTATGGTGTGTCTTTATCCATGCTATTCAGTAGATCTGGTACTGTGTGACTTCTAGCCCTTCCTCAGAGTGAAAATGACCAAGAGAAGCAAATGCCTTAAGTCAGTTCAGGACATTGAGGCAGCCATGATAGTACAACTAAACACACACACAGGGAAACTTCCATAACTTCTGCAAAAAACAGCAGGAACAGTGAGTGGGCTGTGTGTGTTCAATTTCAAAGTGAGGGTCATTATTCTGAGGGGACTGAATGGCAACATGAATTTTACTGTAATAATATTTTTAATTTAAACATTCATTGCATTTTCTAATCATACCTTGTAGTTTGAAAACCTGTCTCTCAAATACAGTGGTGTACCACATAAGGGTTTAGTCAAAGATCACATACACGAGAAGTCCTATAAATTACAGTGGAGCCGAAAAATTCCTATTGCCCACTTTTTCTGTATCTTTTCTATATTTAAATATGTTTAGATAGACAGATACTTACCATGGCGTCAGAACTGCCTAGCACTGCATACATGTGTGTAGCCTCAGGCAGAAGGCTCTACCACCCAGGTTTGTATAAAAACACACGATGATCACACAATAAAATTGTCTCCTGACATATTTTTCTGAACACCCTGTCTTTGACACATGAATACAACTTGAAAGCTCTGTATCACAAAATACTATTTGTATATGAGCTTTTCAAAGCGTTTTCAAAATCCATTAGGCTTAAAAAATTGAATTGGTTCTACTCACCAGTTCATTTTTTTTTTTTTTTTTTGTATTTTAGGGAAGGGTCTACAGGGTGTTCAGGGTCTTACTACTAGATCAGACTTGTAGTGATCCGCCTGTTTACAGCCTCCCTAGTGCTGGGATTACAGGCACGTGCCACCACGCCTATTCTCACTTGCCATCTCAGCAGGACCTAGAGGCGGCGCCGGCAGAGCAGGCCTGTGGATCGAACTCCCGGCCCCCGTGCCTGCTTGCAGGTGCTTTAATCTGTTAAGGTATTTGGCCAGCCCTCAGTTCACTTATCAGAATAAGAACAATGAAAAATAAGTTTTATAAACCAGCTGTCACTAGGTTTTCATTTCCTTTGATTATTAACATATATACTTGCACTTATTTTCAAAAATGTTTACAATGAAATGCTAAGCAGCCTAAGTATCACTTTTTGTGTAGGGCACTTGGGAAATTTGCTGTCTCTGCAGATGTCAGGGTTGTACAAGCCGCCTGACTGCTCCCCTAATCTCAGATTGAATCATGCCACATGCAGTATGTACCTCCAAAGGAAAGGATGTCTAAGGCGTTGCTGCTTCTATATACCCCCCAAGGACATGGTGCGCACTAGGAACTTACGTCAGCTTTCCCCAAAGTGTACAACGTTTCCAAGATCTTGTGATGCAGTAAATATTCCATGCACGGCCCCGTCTCTCCAGATTCCCGTTCATTTTCTTCTTGAACCAGTATATCTAACATCTGTTCCAGATGGGATGGAATGTTCGTATCAGTCACTGGGGCTTTGTCATCTAAACAACAGAAAAATATTTATCAAACAAATACTCAAGTATTTTTAAACTGCCTATTTGAACACAAAATACCATCTATAATTTCCTAGTCTCAAACAGAAAATTTAAACAATAGTTACATGAGGTGTTACACACATTGTATAACTGTCTTTGTAAGAAGATGCTTTTGCCATACTTTTATTAAAAAACTGAGTCAATATTCTAAAATATACTCTTATCTCATGTTGACCTATAATTTAGAACTAAAAGCCACTCATGGGAAATGGGAACATGATCAGAAAAATACATATAAATATCAAGGCTTTTGAGTATTTATCATTATTTCTTTTACTTAGCCAGTTCAGAAGATCTGAATCTTCAGTCTCTTGGCATAGACACCGACTGGTTGTGCCCAAACATTAAGCTGCGCAGCCCAAGACAGTTGGACAGAACTGGCTGTTCCTAAATTCTATACGTCACCTTCTGGCACTGGAAGTCAGTCACTTAATGCTTTCAACCCCTTCCCATCTATAAAAGTATACGGAGCCAAAAGGAAACCCTGCTATCAAAATTCCTGCCATTTTCGCTCATTAACACTAGCTATTCCCAGTCTATTTTTTCAAAGTTGCTTCTCAGGAGACTGTTTATTAACTATCATAGATTTTTAAAAATAAAAAAGTTATTGGTATTTTTAAACATGTCACACTTGGACCTGAAAATTACATCAACCTCCGCTTACTGTCTAAGGATTAAATGCCTCTAATAAACTATAGGTTTAATAAGCTGTCTAAATACAAAATATACCAGGAGATGCCGAGTTCAGACTTATGGCTGTATCAGCATTTTCTCAAAGCTTCTACAAGGTGCACAACTCAAGCCCAGTGGGTTAGGGAGTGCCAGGCTGCTCTGTGTGTGTCCACATGCGGGTGCACGTGCAGAGTGAGCCCTCACACTCAGCCTGAGAGAGGAAATAACGGAGCAGAAGGAGGGCCCCCGCTGGGACAGGCTCTGAGACAGTTGTTCAGAGCATGGCACTGGAGTTAGACAACTTGGGCTCAAATCTCGGCTCTGTCACTTTTAGTTGGATGACCCAGTATACATGAAGCCTTAATCATCAACATCTGTTACACAGAATGACTACACACTAGGCTACGGGTTGCATGAGCTCCGTGAAATAGTACACGGCAAGTCCACCACCCCAGGACACAGTGAAAACTCAGGGAATACTAACTTCTTCAGTCTCACTTCATGTATTCCTGTAAAATGAGTAGCCTCCTACTGAAATGAAAAACTGTAAGTCTGCTTATAAATCAGTTTTTCAAAAATGTTTTTCTCCTTGTAAACATAAACATACACACACATTTCAAGGAAGAATGAATATTCAGCTTTGGTTTCAATACAATTATTTATGGGAACAAAATGACCAGCTGTTTAATATTAACAAAAACACTAACTGCGAATTTAATTTGACAGGATTAAAATACTACCTCCTTAGAAGACAAGATCTACTTCCTGCTGTCAACTCTGAATATTTCTAAATTATCAGTGTTCTGAGCCCTCCTATGACCTTTCCACCTGAACCGCCTCCAGCCTCCTCATCCGCCTGCACAACTCCTACTTATCCGTGACAGCCCCACCTAGACAATGCCCGCTCTTTCCTCCTCTTTGTTCCTTCAGTTCTTGACACTGACGCAGACTTCCTTAACTGCCCCTTCATTGTAACGCACACGCTTGCTTCTGCTATTTTGTGGGGGAAAAATCTTATAAAACAAGAACTTGTGCAATTCTTTAAAGCCCCAGAAGGAAAAAGAAAAAAATAGCAAGAGCTAAGAAGAGCAATCTGAAAGGCAGCTCCTCTTAAAAGACCTTTCTGTAGATGTGCTAAGCATCAAAGGATGTTAAAAACTATTTTACATTTCAAGGTTTACATGTTTTTCAATCCAACTTTTGTTTCTTGCTTCACTCTAAAGGCTTGCAGCTGCTCTCACTCCTCCCGTGCGTCAGCTGCCGGGCGTCTGGTCTGCATGGCCACGAGAGTTTGCCTACGCGGTCCTCCATGGGGCCCACAGAGCAGCGGACACACGTCCCTGTTTGTGAGGGTTCTAAGCTTTTGCACACAGGTCAAATCCATTCCTGTGACTGGTTTTTAGAAAATAAGGTTGTACTGGAACAAAGGAATCTCTGATTTGCATTCTGTTGACCATAACTTTTGTACTACAGAAGTAGAGTTGAACAGTTGCAAAGCAGACTATCCGGCCTAGAAGGCCTAAAATACTGCCTGGCCCTTCCAAGTTTGCCACCCTGGGCCTACTTACTCTCTGTCCTTCTTATATGTTGAGAAAAACAAGCAACCACAACACGGAGCCTGGACCCCTGCGCCGCATCTGCCCGAGCTGCGCTTACATTCCTGCTCTACTGTCCTTCATTTTGACGGTGACGAGTCATCTCATCTTGTTCTTGCGCCAACCATTACCAGACTGTTCTATGGAGTTACAAACTGCAGTATCTTACATCTTTAGAAAATATTTCAAAACCCTCTCTGGCTGCCCCTTCTTCCTCTCAGTTCCCCTCTGCACTGACACTCGAGAAAGGAGTCTACGCACGCGGTCTAGACATGTGCTCCTAAACTTACTCTAGCCAGACCTCTCCTCTCCCCCCTGACATTAAAATGGATTTTTATCCAGGAAATAATGAACCTTTGTGGCTACACCCAGTGACCCATTCTAGGTCCTTGAATCACTTGACAGAACACATCTCTCGCTCTTCTTCTACAGCTATTCTCTCCTGCTGTCTTCTATCTGGGGTCAAAGTAGCACCGTTGTTATGGTTCTCTTCTTCCAACCTCTGCACACTAAATCTAAAGGTGTTCCTGTACCTCTTATTTCATCTGTCTTTTCTCCATTCCTATATAATATCCTCCAATTTCATGATTTTAAACCCAACTTAAATATTGATGACTTAATTTCCCATATAGTTTGTACTCTGAGATACCCATTGGATAGGTAACTGGCACCTCAAACTTAGCACATCCAAAATTCTCTTCCAAACCCAGTCCTCCTGAAGTATCAGTGAGCAACGTCTCTAATCTTTCTTTCATCAGGCCTAAAACTTTAGTTATTTTTCATATTCCTACATAACCAACATTAAAGCTATCAATCTTCCCTCAAAATACATTCAGATGCCCACAGAGATAGCTCAGTGGCTGCCTGCCTGGCAAGTACAAGGTCCTGAGTCAAGCCTCTATACCAAAAAAGAAAAACAAAAAAAAAAAAAAAAAAGAAAATCCAGAATATAATCAGTTCTTACCAGCTCTCCTCAGTGTAAGCCACCACTAACACTCTTTTACCTCCTCCCCCACTACTAGGGATGAAACCCAGGGGTGTTCTAGCACTGAGCTATATCCTCAGTTTTTTGGTTTTTTTTTTATTAAGACAAGTTCTTGCCAAGTTGCCCAGGCTGGCCCTGAACTTAGGATCCTCCTCCCTGAGCTTCCCTAGCAGCCGAGATCACAGGCATGTACCATACCTGGTTCATCATTATCTCTTGCATGGACAATTGTAATAGTTTTACTAATGGTTCTGCCAGCTTTGCTTTATTTTATTTCATGCATTTAGTACAGGGTCTATAGAATCTCACTACACAGAACGGACTTGTGGTGATCCTTTCTGTTTTTCAGCCTCCCAAGTACTCCCACCATGCACAGTCTTAATTGCCATCTCAGCACACCTCAGGGGTGGGGACAGCACAGCAGGCCAGAGATCAAGCCCCTGGCCTCTGCGTCTGCCTAAGCAGGTGCTTTAATCCACTGAGCTATATGGCCGGCTGGTTCTGCCAGCTTTAAACCTCTATCTTTTCAATTTCTTTTTTTTTTTCCCCACAAAAGTCAAAGTGACTGCTTTAATATATGGACTATATTATAGCCCTACTAAAGTGTGAGACTGCCAAGCTTCGTTCTCCTTAGAAATGAAGCCCCGGGCCTCCATCTTTCCCTGACCTTTATTTCAACCCGACTCACTGAGGTACACAGAGCTGGTTATAGTGAACCAGATACACCCTTAGCGGGCTAAGCTCCAACACTGCAGCACTTAGGTGAGAATCACCGTACCTCCATGGCCGGAAACGGGGCTTGAATAAGACCTGTGAGATTCTTGGGCTAAGACATGAGATAACATCTCAGCTGAAGCCATGGGATTCAAAGGAGAAAAAAGAAAAGAATCAAACCTTGCAGGCAGTAAAGGAGCCAGCTTGCACGTATCAAGCTATCCTTTGCTTTGTTAACCGGAGGGGTTCTGAGCCTGGTACAAAACTGTTTCACCTTACAGCCAACGCCTGCAAAGTTTCTCCTCCCTAGTACTCTGCCACGACCCCAACTACCTCTCTGACTGAAACCAATAAAAGCCACAAGCATTTGGACTCAGGGCTTTTTGCTCCACCGAGAACAGTGGCCATCCCAGAGCTTCTCAACTGCAGAAATTTCTGTCTTCCTTTTGCATCCATGTGTCATACTGCCTGGTAGGAAACTGAACCCTCTGCAGGGATTTCAGTACTCAAATCCTTTCAAAGTCTTATTAGAGAGACAAGCTAGGGCCTTCATGACACATTACATGCCCATGCGAATCTACACCGTGACCCCGACAATACCTACCTAACCTCATCACCCCCAGGTTCTCTTTTACTCTGCTGCAGACACTGAGGCTTTCTTGTAGTTCTTAGTATCCTCCAAGCAGGCTACAAGCTCTAGTGCTGGCTAGCTTGTGTGAACACCG